TCCCGCGCTTCAACGAGGCAAAATTTGTACATGTATAATTATAAGGTTTTACTTTTGTGATTTTTTTTTTAATTTTTAATTATTCATATAATAAAACAATTATTGACTAGTGAACCATTGAATATGATGTGATATTCACCGGCAGAAAGTCATATTGACCTCGGCTATCGCCTCGGTCAATATGTCATCTGCCGGTGAATATCACATCATATTCAATGGCTCACTAGTCAATAATTGTATATTATTGCATGTGCAATGTTACTTCTTACTTGTTTAACATGTAATATTATCAAAGTAATGGGAAGAGCATCGAAACACTGTTTTAAAGTTAAATCGTATACCAATACATGCACAGTGCGTTTAATTAGTTACTCACACCCATTGTCTCATTAGAACATGCTCGTTGATTGGCTTATTTTTTCTGGGGTTTAATTATTGTGACGACAGGGAAAGAGATAACGATGGAAAAGTCATAAACAGATGCGCGTACGTCACGGGGGTGGAACCCTATATAGATCTCAAAATTGAGCATCGGCAAAAAATATATGTGAATTTTCGCTGCTCCAGATGTGAGCTTTTATTCTATGTGGATATGGATAAGAAGGAGAAAATAGGTCAATCACAGGGTAAGTTCTCTATTGGGGTAGTGATATTTAATTACCAAACACATGGACTAACGCACTTTCGTGCAATGCTACGGAACTTTAATTGTTTAGATTGGCTTAGATTGGCTATTCAAATACTATATTGAAGTGATCCGTAGTTTTGTTGATGGTTTCCTATATCGCCTATGGATCTCTTCAGCACATGTGGAGCTCAGATGGAATTTTGACCGGCAATTCCTTTATTTTGAGCCCATTCTTAATAAATGTTTCAATAAGGGTTTGTTTGAATGTTAAGCACCGTTATGTGGTAAGATGACACCGTTTCCTATGAACTGAATGTTTTTATACTTCTTAAATCTGGTTAGAGGCAACACACAGACTTGTTCTCAGATTGAGAACTTCAAAGTTATCTAACTGAGAAAAGTAGAACTTTTACAGTCGTCGTTGGTTAACCTTTGGATTAGGATAGTCGAATTGTGCTAATATACCAAAGTCTTAAAAGTAATCAAAGGGCTGCAAGCTCTGTGGTATTTTCTGATCTTTGCAGTATATCTGTATGTATTTTCCTGTATAAGTTTATTTTTATGTACTATAATTCATCTTGCAGGGCACGTTTATACATGTCGACATGCCGACACACGAGTTAAATACGAACATGGCATCTAGGGGGTCAATTCAAGCTTCCATAGTTCAGACATCATCACATTTTTTGTCTACATTTTCCATAAGACGATCTAATTTTAATTCTATTTTTTTTACAATTACAGGTTAGAACATACTTTATACTATCTATAGCTTGCACGTTTGTTCTTTTAATTGTTTACCAATCGATTAGTGCATCTTTCTATATAATTCTATGAAAAGTAAATTAACGAGGTCGAAAATTCTGATGGGTAAAATAAAAAAAAATGAATTGTTGTGTTTCCCTTTATTATGCATAGGAAAGTTTATTTTTAAATATTCATACTCTTTTTTACAATTCATATAATGTCAGGTATACATTTGGTTATTTTCATTCTTAAATCAAGATGTGGGAGCAGTATTTCCTTGATTTGAAGTAAGCAAATTAAGAGATGCTCTCGTGACCCATTTTTTCCGGCTAGGATATACCTGGAAAGAGATATGTGGATTACTTTGCTGTGCACACAACATTATGATAACTCTTCGACAGATCCGTCGGATCGCTCAGGACTAAGAAGATACGGTTTGTATTACCGAGGGTTATAAACGAAGTAAGGCACTGTGCCACTGTGGTTTCTCAAATTCGGGCTACAGAGTTAAAGTCATCAGGTAATGTTGCTGCAACTCAAGACACAGTGAGACAAATAGTCAAGGCAATGGACCCAGCTGGTGTCAACTTACGGTTAAGGCGTCGGTTACGCAGACGAATATATGTCAATCGAGGTCCTAACTTTATTATTTACATTGACGGATACGATAAGCTTAAACTTTTCGGGATATCAATACATGGGGCTATTGATGGTTACTCAAGAAAGGTGCTGTGGCTGAGAGCAGCATACACAAATAACGATCCAAAGATTATTGCAAGATATTACATTGAATACATTAAAACAATAAATCAACTGCCGATGGTTGTTCGTGCGGATTACGGCACAGAAAATTCTGTCGTTCGAGATCTTCAAATGGCTTTAAGATATAATCATGGCGATTGTATGTCTGGAAGAAAAAGCTTCTTATATGGGCGATCAACTTCAAACCAGCGTATTGAAAGATTTTGGGTTTTATTGAATGACAATTTTACAACCTTTTGGAAAAACTTTTTTAAAGATCTTCGCGATACTGGCTACTTGCATGATGGTGACCCCCGTTCATACTGAATGTGTCAGGTTTTGCTTTCTTTCTTTAATCCAGCAAGATCTTGATAAAGTAGCTGAAATGTGGAATCACCACCGAATTCGAAGACAAGTTGAGATTGAAAGCCCAACAGGTGTTTCCCCCGATATGATGTACTATCAGCCACAATTAAGTTTTCAATGGTGTGAACAGTGCCTGTCCACTTCCGTGTGAACTCAATGATATAGATGTCCTTTCTCAAAGATACACTTCAATGACTCCAAGGCTTGGCTGTAGGGAAATGTTTGTACAGTTCCTAGAAGAAGTAACTGGTCGGGACAGAGATCAATTTTAACAGCCAAGCACACTTGATATCGCTACTGTTCTGTTTAAGGAACTAACGGAATACCTTGACAATTTGTAAAATAATGTTGTTTAATAATGTTATTATTGAAATGCATTGAAACAAAAGCCATTTTTATGTTTTAAGTTACATAATGCAATAACAGTTGAGGAATTTAAACATTCATACTTTTACTAATCAATCTTTCTTTATTTATTTTTTTGTGAAAAAAAAACTATACTTTCGAAACAAAATTTGCGATTTCCGCGTATATGTATTGTTTTGTTCCATTTTCTATCATATAGATAAAGTGGTATAAATCTTTGTAGAACCAACTTTTAACCCCCTTTGTTACTATTATTTTTTAAAAAAAATTGCCCTTTGTTTTTTCAACGATTTTTGAATGTCACTTTGGACCTTTTTATGAGTTTGGGGCCCGAGAACTAAGTTATTCAGCCCCAGAAAACATGTGCACGGGTTGCACAAACTAAACAATGACGTCATATTTTACGTCTGGGATCCATGCTGGTCGGCCAAACCACATTATTTTGTTGTTGTCATGACACGGGCCCTAAATGACCATTGCATCGCGCAGGTCTGATCAGGATCCAATGCTGTTCGCTATCTGGTTTCTCTACTTTGTTATAGGTTTGTAAAAAGCGCAACAGCATGGATTCCTAAAATCAGAACTGCGCGGCATGCGCACAGGACTGGTCTGGATCCAATGCTAGTTTCGCAAACCCCCATTATTTTGGTTTTGTTCGTGACACGGTCTCATTTAGGTCAACTAAAATAAAACAATGAAGAAAACCCGAATAAACAACCCCATATTAAACAACCCAAAGAAAATTCAATTACAAAAACAGAAGTAATGGGAATTTTTTAATACTTACAATGCTATTCCCTTTATCAGGTACACCTCATTAATACATATTGAAATAAAATTAAAAGAATGGGTTATTTTTACCTCTTACTAGTTTGAAAATATTAAACTGATAAACTTCTATAATTTACAGAGAAGAACTGAATATAAGAAAAAGTTTTCATTGGTCATTTTAAATATACATTTTTTGTGTGTATTTTCTTTCTAACTAAACTTTGTTTTGGTGTGAAAGTTACTAATTGGCACAATTACCTGAAACTTCCTTCGCTTCTGGTGTATTTTGCCATTTAGTACAGTTTTGGTGATTGTTAAAATACTACTTTGTTCACATTTTGCTACTTTTTAAAAATAAAACAATCTCACAATCATAACTCCTTCCTTTTGGTAACCAACAACCAACATGCTCTAAAATACTCATTTCCTCTCCTTAAAGGGAATTGTTTATTCATTTGTAAAATGGTATGCTAATATATTTAATAACCAACCCTTGACCTTGCACTGTTTTGTATTTGAAGCAGTCCATTCCTTCAAAGTTTCAGTGATTTCAATCATGGTCAAAATGCACTAGTAAAAGATCCCGGTCAGATTGCATGGATTCTCCGGTTGGCCTCCTGGCCCCATGTTCACTAACACAAGATCATGATCAAGGAACAAATGATCCTAATTTTCTTTTCATTGTTTTATAAAACTTAAATTGAGAGTGTTGTCCTAGAATTAAATGGTATAATAAACAAAGTGTAAAACATTTGCTGATTTGCACAAAAACAAGCCTTTTCCGGGATGATATCGACAAATAACAAATATCATCGGATCAAAATATTAAGGATCAATTTAGGGATCAGGAACAATATTTGGGTCAACTGCCAAAATGCCTATATCTTGTTAAATAACAATAAATTTATTCTAAAATTTTATAAACAGGCTATTAAAGTCCAATTCTATCAAGTAAATATTATTTCAATGAGGATAAACAATGGAAAATATTTGAGATTTTTTTTAATTTGATCTAAAATCTTAGTGAACATGGGCCTGGCTTTAGCTTTCCACTTTCAGTTTCCAGCAGGTTAAGAGCCCAAACCTCCAAAACTTTTTCTGGAATGTAACCCAGGTGAAACAATTGACCTGACTCTTATGACAATTCAACAATGAACAAAACAATTAATTTTGTTTGGCCTGCTCAACCATTTTGTCAACTAGGCCTTTTATTAAACAAATAATTTCATAATTATATGATAAAACAAATCAACAATCTTCGAATGAAACATTCTTGTATCAGAAATAGTTGATTTTCAAATTCATGAGAGCAATAAATCTGTTATGTAACAATTCTACAATTATTTTATCAATACACTTAAGTGTAAAAAGGGAGAGTTCTTCATTTGAAAGTATTTAAAACAAGAACATATATAATACACATAATTTAACTACAGGAAAAGTGTGTATTAAATAATTATCAGCTGTTGTGTTTCTGTGCAGTTTAACTTGATTTTAAATGATAAATATAAACAAAATGTTTCATTTTTCTGTTTAAGACTAATATTTAATAATCTGATTACATGCCCATTCAATTTTGTAATTGTTCTGATGAAATATTTCTTGGAAACAGAAATAAATATAAAAAATAACAAGCAATTATCAAAGTATTGCAAATAATATAAAAGTCCCCTACTGGTAAGAACCCAAGCAACATTTTCAATTTAGCCATTGTGGAAGACATGAATCAACTTCAATCTTTGGATATTTGTTTATCTGTATCATAGTATTGTGTTAAGTGTCCATGACTTATGAGGAAATTATGTTTATACAACAAATCTTAAATCTCAAGTAGATACCATTTATAGAATTTAAGATGAAAAGTGAAAAATATAACAATTTTCAAATATATAAAAGTAAAGTTTATTTCTGTAACATAGTACTCCGGCCCAAAATACAACATAGACATTGCAATGGAAAGTACAATATACCATTAATAGTAACAAAGAAGAAAATTTTAAAAAAAAGTTAAAAATTAAAATTTAAGGATGATTATTCTGATTATTATAAAGGTGCTAGAATAATGGACCTAATGCCACATATGAAGTGGGTGTGATAAGAAACATATATTCAATGTTTGAAGTAGGTATGTTAAGAAATAAAGAAGTTATATAAAAAAAGCAACAACATTTTTTTAAGAAAATTGCAAGTTCAAGGGGGGTAAATCTAATAAATTTGGTGCTAAAGTTGTGAAGCTTGACATGCATATTTTCCATACGGTCATGATGCCATCTTTTTTATATTTATCTTTTTCATAAAAATGTTTTCTGTACTTCTGAGTAATCACAAATATTGTTATATTTGCCATATTTTAAGTCTTTTTGTGGCCATAGCAACCAAATTTTTCAACATAAGAAGAAAAGAAGATGTTCATAATTTCCAGACTGCTATTTAACTATATTTCAAGCTTCATTAAAGTATTCAGTACTTTTTGCATCACCACAGGATAAGGTTTCGTGGACGGATGGACGTACAGAAGGAAAGAGGGTAAACCTAGTCACATCTAGTTAAACTGATAAGGGACTAAAAAAAATATTTATGTTTCAAATAAAAATGTGTTAAAAACACCTAGCATTTCAAACTTCTTACACTCTGCCCATTTTCTATACCAAACAAAATGTTTTATTTTTGTATTGGCCCCATTTTCCTTATGTTTCTCAGCTGCCCTGTGGTAAAACATAATTTGGCAAAGCCGGTGATCTAATTTCAACAAGCTAATATAATAATGAATGTTTAATTAAATTTTTATCAAAACTGCTCAAGTTGATGGTCTTTACCGGAGTCATAAACAATGTCTTTATTGGTTCTATTTTATCTTTTTTGGCATGCAACACATCAATCAACATGCCAAATCTATCCGTCCCCCTCACGGCACTGCCAAGCACACAACTCTGTATTAATCAGTTGCCATAGATATAGAATGTTTAATGTCACATTATCAATTCACATGTAGATCCTCTATCAAATGTTAAACAACTTGTCCAGCAAGCATCAGTTCTGTAAATAAAATATTTTATTTATAATTTATAATGAATACTGTCTTTGGGAGAAACAATTTTAACTACTTACATATGTATAGTAGAATTTGAGTCTTTGTTACTAAAGTTATTTTTGCTACTCAAAGCATTATACAAATATACACATATCATATGGAAAAATCTGATGTCCTTTGCAGAATTCAAAAAACAGTGTTGAGGGGAAAATGTTGTTTTTTTCACTTGGCCACAAAAGCCCTATTCCTACTATTTAAAGTGATCAACAATTTTTCTTGAGTAATTGTCTTAAGAACTTACCTTGGTTTGATCTTGGATAATGTATGGGAGGAACTTCTATAGTAAGGCAACAACTGTTTCTTTGTGGCCTAGTAATCAACAAGATACAGATTTATTGCTAGTTTTTAGAATTTCAAAATACTATAGGAACTCAGGAATAGGACAGCATACTGCGGTGCATACTTTCTAACTTTTACAAGCTTTACTTTTTTTGTTTGTCTGACATTTGAATATATTTTCATATCATCCAATTGAATTGTCTTGAAGTAAGTAATCTCAATTTAAAATAATCTGCTAGTTTAAAAATAGGTGAAATCAAGAGCCATATAGAAAAAGGAACCATCAAATTTGGCCACTTTTTTAAGTAGCAAGTCTAAATGTTGAAATGATATTATATTCTTAGAGGTCATACACTCGGATAATATGAAGCATTTTTAAAAGCTGTTGCAGGATAGGAAATATAAACCGCAATTTGCGGTCCCATTCCCTGAGTTCCTTATAATAGAATATACATGAAAAAGAAATAATTATAAATATTTTTCTTTTAGGCTCTAAAACAGACACCTGCTTAATATTTTACTTATATCTTTAAAAATGTTTTTTGCAAACCTTAACCCCTGTAAAATACCGAGAATTTCTGCTCTAAAAGGAATGTAAGTTTGAATATAAAATCAATTTCCAGTTTAAATTCTAAAAATGAATTTTATTTTTTTTAAAAAATTATAAAAACGTTTCGATTTAAAAAGTCTTTCACAGGTATACTTTTTTTTCCCAGAAAATTTGCTTTCATTTTTCATATGACTTTAAAGGGCCCAATTAGTAAAAAATGAAAAAAACAAAAATTTTGGGCCCTATAAATTATTTTGGTAGGATCTTAATAAAAGATACAAAACACTGGTGAAGATGCAGTAAAAAGCAATATAAAATTAGAAAACCAGCATAAACTACATATTGACATGAAATAAGTTTTAAGTCATATTAAGCAAAAAATAGAAGGAATTTCTATCCTTAAAGCAGCTTGTCTCCAGATTTATGCCAATTTTCCATGAAAATGTATTTCAATGTAAAAAAGTATTAAGTGGACAAAGAGTGCAGACACTTACAATTCATGTAAATTACCAAAATAAGGACAAAATATGCAAAAATAGCTCTGAATGCTGCAAATTGTAAGCAACACAAAAGAAATATGGTGATAACTACAAGGAAATCAGTCCGTAATTGCACACATGTAAATTATTACTTGAATCGTGATGCTTTTACTTTTTTAAAAATTGTACTAAAAGCTTGATTTTAATTAAAAATATTGACTCATTTGGAGGCAAGTAGCTTTAAATATTAATTTAGAGAAAGGAAAATGCTGATTTATATTTTTTTTCAATATCATTTATCAGAATATCATTTTTCATAATTGATTCTGATTCCAAGATGTTCATGAAAAAGATTTAAGTAACATGTACACAAAGATTATTTTACACTACAAATTTTAGCCTTGATATTAAATTCAATCACAGAAATGATGGTTTAAATATGACGGCAAAATTGACAAAGATAAATCTAGCTGTCCTTGAAATGAATCTAGATCCATCTTTACTGGTAACATTTTCATTTGTAATTAAAGGGACTCCGACGTGAAGGGGCCGAAAATACTTTTCAAGATTTTTGTATAACTACATGTGTTACTCTGTTTTCAAGAAAACAATCAATTTCATTGTGCAAATTGGTCCAAAAAATGAAAACTGTTGCAACGCTTTTCACTCAAATCGGCCAAAAATGGCATAAAAAATCAATTATCAATTTAATACTGTGTGTATTTATTTATCATCTATTGTTTAGTTTCAAATTTAAGTGTACCAGTTGATGTAAGAAAGAATTTCATAATTTATTATTTAAGGCTATTGGACCTCAGTGGAGTGCCTTTAAGGTTAATCGAGCCTTTAAGGTTAATCATCATTTATATATGGTTGATAGTGAACAAAGTATATTGCTTATTTGAACCATTTAAAGTAAAATTCCTGGAACTTACCAGTACTTACTGGGTGTAAATTTTTTTATTATCTTTCTGGATTTAACTCTGACTTTAAGTAGTCTTACTTCAATGCTTTCCTGCCAAAAATTGTTTCAACATCAGCCAATATCGTAATAAATCAGTCATTTCAGGAACGTTATTTTTCAATTTTTTTGGTATCCAACAATGTTCAACCATTTATAACCAGAATTTAGTACATAGTGATAAAGGATGATTGTTTATAATCTATTGCTAAAGATTCTGAGAAAAATAGTTGGGTAAATAACCGATTTGCTACCATATTGGCCAATGTTAGAATTGTTTTGGCGGCAAAGCATAAAGTTAATACTACCCAAAACATGTTTTATGGCCACATCTTGGAGGTTGAACACCATAATGGGTATTCCTGGATAACTAACCAGTTTCTCAACAATTGAACCGACTACTAATCTCAAAAATGATTTCAGAATCAACAGTGAGAAATTATGCCATGCCATACGATGGAACCAGCGGCTCCTAGTGAGGATTACCAAAATGATGCTCTCCCTAATGAGCCAGACAAGCAGACAGACTTGGTGTCAACAGAATAAACATGGTCATGAACATTTGTGGGTCAAATTATTTATATGCAATTTCAAATGAAATGATTTTTGGTGTGTATGTCGATACACAACAAAATTTGTTATAAAAAAACATGTTCAATATTGTTGGGCAAAATTATTTTTTTTTTAATATTGCTTACATAATAAACTTGTCTTTCTTAAGAGAATCAAATAAATTCATAGCTTTTCCTTGCTGACATATTACATTCACTTCAATAACTGTGGTCAGATCTACAAATGTAAAAAGAACATAATTATCAATTAAAATGTAAAACAATTCAAATACAAGACTATTTTCTCCCCCTCTGCTTTTACCATGGCTTGGGACATGCTAGTAGTTAAAACTGCACACATCCGTGTATGTTTTAATTTTTGAATTCAGGATTTTTTTTTTTTATTATACATTTTTTCAATTTGAGTCAAAATTTGCTTTTTTTATGGCAAATAAATAGTATTCTCTATATTGATTTACTTATTTCACTCTAATATTAATTAAATATTACACACTGTTGCTTAATAAAAACTAAGACATAAATGGGAAACATCATCTTAATTCTGACTTTGTAAGTTTTCTAAAGAATATTAAATCTAAATATTTTTACTAAATCATTTAGACATATAATAAAATATTACACGTTGAAACAATATGAATCTGGGAGTGTGCTGTTTTAAAACTAGGCAGCATTGGGAGAAGTGTTGAGATTGTCAAAACCTTTGAAGCTCTGAAATGTTGAATGGATTTAAGTCAGTCACTGTACGTTGTAGGGTTGGTCACAGTTAGAATAGAATTCAGTATCTATTCTAGAAATTTAAAAGTATGGGTGAATCCCCCCCCCCATTAAAAAATAGGTTTGCAAAACAAAGGGTGCCAGTAAAAGAGTAATTGTGTAAAAAAATTCAATGTTGTTTATATCAAGCCAGAGCTAATCTTTTTATTTTTCTTAAAAAATAAAAAGGCAGCTAAATTGGGTTTTTATTCATAGAAACAAATCAGGGACGACTCAACTAGAATATGTCTGCAGCTATTTTTATCATATTACACATTATTATTAATATTGAGTTATGAGTAAGGGTTAGTGTTATGTGTTAGGGTTAGAGTTAGGATTATTGAACATGAATTTTGCTGCAAACAGATTCTAAAAGTGCCGTTATCATCTTTATAGAAAAAGGAGTTGTCATCGAAAAATATTGATTTTATTTAGCAAACGCCTCACAGTGATTACCTCCCTTGGCAGATTGTAATCACATATACTAACAAGGGGAGATCACTGTGTAGGAGATTGTTTATTTAGTACACAATTACCTCCCTTTGACTTCCCCGTGTTCATGTAAACAAAATAAGTTGTCTAGACCTTTATGCTTTTTGAGAAAACTGATGAATTTGGATGCAGGATTTCACACACGAGTTTTCAAAATGTGCGCAATCTTTGAAAAAATAGTGTGAATCCCGCATTAACAAGTCCTAGAATAGACACTGAGGTTTAAGTCACAAGTACACATCTCCCACCATTCAACAGCCGCCAAAGAGCTTCAATAAATGCCAAATGTCTCTGTCTGACCAATAACCGGAAAAAGTTTTGGTCTAAGGTTGCATAGGCCTAGTACTGGTAGTTAAAGTAAATCAGTCAAAAACCTTCCCCAATTAATAACTATTGGGAAAGCCATGACTGGTTCGTAAAGTCTTGTAAATTGGTCAATGTCATGATCAATGTCATTAGATCAAATATTTTGATGGAGAGGTTTGTCACAACTGGTATATGTCAATGACCATGTCAGTACCTACATAATTTTTGTCTGGAGGAAAACTTTGTACAGAAAAGAAAGTTTTGTAAAGATCGAGATAAAGTTAGATAAGAATAAAGTAGAAAATCTGTCATATCTGCACTTCCCCCTTTATTGCAGAACTATGATGGGGACGTGCAAACAATCAACAATCATGGATGCCAGGAGACCTGAAATTAACTTTCTACAGAAAGTTGATCTGTCTAGAAAGCCTGATGTTTTTATATATCTTTTTCATCTACATTTTCTCAACCAAATTATCTTCTTTTTATTCATTCGCTTTCCATACATGATGAACTGTTTTCACTGTCAAATTTCATTTCATTCAACTCTCCTCTAGTTCATTCCATTTCCTTGACTATTATTCAATTGTTTTCCATTCCAATCTCCATGTATTATCTCCCTTTCCATTTATTTTCATTCATTAATTTTTTCACTTTCACATCTCCATTTTTCAAAAATGTCTATTGCTGACCTCTTGAATGTAGTTACTTCATTTCTTTCATATTTCAACCAACACTTTCCTTTTTTCACTGCACTGACTAAAAATTTCATGCCCTTTTTCCATTCTCAAAACTTCACAATTTTTTCATTCTCATTTCTTTCCAGGCAATTCACTATACCCTGTTCTATTCATTTCACAATTTAACACTAACCGAAACATATAATTCATAATGGCATTTTATTTATGTCCCTCCCACCATGATAATAAATACAAATATTACACCTTTTCAATATTTTACCTCTCTGTTCTGTACTTGCCTCGTCTTTCACACTGCTGAGTGACTAAAAACATTGCAATTCTTACCGTCTTGTCTTGATAACTTGATGGAAATATCATTTAAGTACTCACCATTTAACAACTTATATTTTAAAAAGAGAAATACTAGTTATTGTACATTATACATTCTTTACAACTAATATATCCAAATAAATTATTTTAAGTGATAAATAGTTTACTATTAGATATGTTGCAAAATTCTATACTTATTAAAGTTTAAAGATATATCTATGAAAGGTCAGTGGTTCTTCTCGGTCGACAAGGAAATAGAAAAAAGTATAATTTAGTTACAACTTTTACACGGAATAAATGTTAATACATTTTGTAAATTATTTAAACTTTCTTACTATATAATGTAATCATTATCCCGTCAGCATTAACATATACACACACACTACACCATTTTCCGATGAACCATCAGATCTCCTAAAGAAAAATACAGAAGA